CGGGAGAAAACCTGAGTCACACTAACCCAACGCGAGTTAAAGCAGTTCAAGGTCGCTGGATAAAGTGATGTGTATAAACGCACATACTACATCAGGAAAATGACAGCAAATTATTACAAACAAGTTTTAATAACATTTTGCAAATTATAATCTAAACTAAAACACAAAAACATGATGAAGGTAGACACTGCAACTATAAGCCGAAAGTTTGAAAGTTAACTGTAAATTACACATATAGAGATAACGCTTGTAAAAGAAAATATGATTTTATTGCCTTAGTCAAAAATCCTGCATAATTTAAAAAACCTGCACTTTCAAGGTTTGTTTCTGCAGCCATATTTTTTCAACAACTTTCTTCATATATCGTTTATGATAACTGTTTTGTTTACATTAAATAACATTCTGATATGTATTAAAAAGGCCTTTTGATGGAATAAATAAATTCAGCGTATTTTTTTAAATATTAGAATAATTATTTTTGTTTAACTGCAACTTATTTTAAAAATGTGCGGAGTAGACATTTTTTAACGTTTATACACATCACTTTATCCAGCGACCTTGAACTGCTTTAACTCGCGTTGGGTTAGTGTGACTCAGGTTTTCTCCCGTGTTTTTTGTGCTAAACGTCTAGATTACGCTCTATTTATACAAGTCTATTATTGCTGAAAGCATGAGCTTAACCAGACAGAATTTTCATGAAGAATGCGAAGCTGGTATTAATCGGCAAATCAACATGGAACTGTACGCCAGCTATCTGTATTTGTCGATGTCGCAGCACTTTGACAGGGATGATGTCGCCCTTAATGGCTTCAGGAAGTATTTTGCCAAAGCCTCTGAGGAAGAACGTGAGCATGCAATTAAGGTAGTCTGTGATTCAGTGGCTAAATTTAAAAGCTTATGAGATACCAGTGCAAGCGAGGGGGTCATATTGTCTATCAAGATATCTCGAAACCTCAGAAGACAGAGTGGGCGAGCGGTTTAGAAGCTATGGAGGCAGCTCTTAAAATAGAGCAGGATGTTAACGAGTCTCTCCTCGCATTGCATGATGTTGCAACTAAACACAACGACAAGCAGTTTTGCGACTTTCTGGAGTGTAAGCTTTGATAAAACCTAATGTATATGCTCGCGAGATGATGTATGCATTATTTCTTTGAATTGACGAACCATGATGTACCATTATAGCCGAATATTTGGGGGAGCAAGTTGACGCCATCAAAGAATTGGCCGATCACATCACCAATCTGCGGCGTTGTGGACCTGGACTCGGAGAGTACATGTTCGACAAGGAGACCCTTCATGGTGATGAAGACTGAAATCATGGCCCTTTTCTCAACCGTTTTCGACTTTTGATTTTCAGATTCTTTTTTTAAATTTAAAATAACGTGCTTGATAATCTAAATCAAACTCTTGTATATGGGGCTCATTTATTTCCTTGGGTTATGAATTGCACACGAGCCACCTCATTGCAAACAAGGGTGACAGCATCTAAGTAGATGCAGGAAATCTGTGAATAAAATCAACGGTTTCGGGTCGATTAGTCACTTCCTCGATAGGTTACAGCAATGTCGTTGTGAGGAGTGTCCGTGCTTATAGTCACGCCGGAGGTGCCGTTGTGCGTGAGTGCCTAGCCGCGTAACCGATGCCTTCGTTCTGTGGGCGAAGAGCATCGGTTACGACTTCTTCGGTGTCTTCTGCCGGGATGGTCCTACTTAATTAACCCCAAAATCTGCCTTGGACGGAATGTCACAACCACCGATAACCCAAAAGCCCGGGGGACGTATGTGCAGACCGTTTTATGGTCACCTAACGATGACATAGCTGTCAAATTGAAGGCTGAGGAGGATTTCTGCCCGATTAGGCTTCTTATTGAAGTAGCGTTATAGGATGTGCCGTCCATCAATGAGGTAGCAGCGGACTATTTTAGTTGTATGTCACATATGTGCAAGACGCTTGGAGGCATAGGTAGGATGGCAATGGGAATAACTGAATCCTTAATCGTAGTTGTCAAGTGACGGTCGGCATTTACCAGTGATTTGAGTTTGCCTTCCATGACACTAAAAGCAGAAATTACGGGAATTCGTAAGCTCCCTCCCTCAACGTAAGGTGTTCAGAAAATTTAAAGCGGGAAGCATTGTGCGGTTGAGTGCTTTATTTAAATGAGACTCAATTGCTTTCTGTAAAAATAAGGAGCACGCAATCTAAACCGGATCACGAAGCTTGATGCTCATTGCCTTCCTTGGGATGGGTCAAATCTGGCGACAACTGAATCGAGTTTTCTAATGAGATCGCAGCAATCTAAAAAGAAACATTTGCCACACTATACTAAGGGATTACATGGAAATGGTGACAGTGCTGTTTTAGGTTTACCTTTTCTACCAGATAGGAGTGCTGTCACTCGTGTTCTCTCCACTGGGTAATTACCTGATGTGATGTCTGCGATTTCACTAAGCAGCGTCTTGCTTAGCTTGTCATCAAGAGCTAGCGAGAAGAAACATTCGCCGGGGTCCAGCGTTTGCCCACAGGAGGCAAGGTCAGCACTGAGCCCTCGATTCATCTCGAAGCATGTTTCCTCGTTGTGTGAATATAGCGCCTAGGGACAAATCGTCGTGAAGTAACTACGAAAGACACTCCGGGTTGCAAGGCCGACAAGGAGCTTCTACAAAGTCAACTTAATGAGTGATATTAGTACACAATATTGACTTATTGTTGCTTATAGTATCAACAAGCCAAAAAACCGCTGCTACCGTCGCCTTGAAAGCCTTTCAACTGAAATTCTTCTGGCCAGTTGAAGTCGTCTCCTTACCACAACTGAAGACGGTTGTCATAAAGGGACATACATAAGCTGTAAGAATCGATAATAGTGAACCAGTGTCTGCAATCCCCAAGTAGCAATGGCTCCTGCTGGCTTGTGACTAGGCTACTTGAGCTGATTCAAGCACTGGTGCGGCCGCGACAATGACACCACCAACCACGTTTTCTGAAAACCCGCGGGCTGACAAAAACCTTATAACGACTACCAGGGCCTAGCACTGCATGGAGAACAGGTGACATACTTCAGCCCAGAAACAGCGTCTACAAAATATACTGTGGATGAGTGCCAAAAGCCATCGTACTCACTGACCATTCCCAGTCATCATTTAGTAATACGCATGCACACGTTACAAACAAGAACGATTACGAACATTTTCTAGACAGGTTATCCCGATCAATGTGAAATCTACCTGTCAGATGTACTGTCAGTGCATAATGACCACAGCACTCCAGTCCGAAGTTGAACAGCCGTAATGCAAAATGGCAATTTGTCTTATGCCATTCCAATGCTGTCCTCCCACAACACCCAATAAAAATCCACATTTACTTGGAGAACACTTTCGCGCTGTTTCCTTGAAATGGGATTCTGAAACTGGGGATTTAGGAGTGCTCTGTTTTGTATTGAGATTGTACTAACGTAGAAATTGCATGCGAGTCGGTGTTCGCCGTCTTGGGTAAGTCGATTCACCAGATGCAATACCACGTCGTGTCGTAGAACTGGCTGACGGACCAGTATTCCCGAAATGTCCCAAACAAGAACTTAATCTACTCTACAAGTGGCCTTAGAAATGTTTGAGAAGACGGACCATCGCAGTGCACCAATACGCCAACACCAACGCTTGAACAAACCACCTCACGAAACTGTCTAAGGAACACAAACAACAGCACAGACTCAGCGTTATAACCAAATAACCGTCAGCAACCTGCACCCCTTCATGACGAATACTTCAAGGACCCGTGAGTATTATTAATTAGGGGTCGAATCTCCGGCTCTAGCTTAACGTCGTATGTATTTAGTCCTATTTTCCACTTTCGCTCATCACCAGTTGCACACAAATTACCTTTGCATACAACCAACCACACAAAAGCAATATCCCCAATCATCTGTTTAAAGGATTAATTGACGGGCGTGCCCACATTGCCTCTGGTCTTCTCCGTGACTTTCAGACAACTTTGGTTGCGCAATTACCAAACAACGGTACACATATTCACAAACCACAGTTTTATCAAATGGAAATGCTGCGTCTTAAATCCATGGACAACATTCTGACAGCAATGCCAGGCGGCAAACTACCTCTGATTTTCGCTACAGAAACTAACTCCTAGTGACAGCATTGATCGGAATAAACCACCCACTCACCAACAACAGCAGAACCTAAAAAGAGTTCTCTGTAAAACTGCAGTGTTTGGTTACCGTGCTCAACCCGGACTAAATTAAGAGAGCGATAATGAAGAGATAATGAAGCGATCTGAGAAACGAAAGCAACAGCACATACGTCAACGTCACAAAAGAATTCCACATCCGCATCGCTTTCTGACCGCAAACATTCCGCAACTGAAGGCTGCTGCAAAAGGGCCGCCTTGAGCGCCTCGAAGCTGAATAATAAAGAGGATTGTTGTGGTGGCTCGGTAGGCGATGTTGGCGGTTTCTTCACTTTGAGACCTCGTGGGCGCGGGCCTATGGACGATGGCCTTGGCGTGGGAGGGCTGAAAGGAGGAAGTTCAAATGTGTTCTGGCGAAACGAGTGCAGTTGGTGGGCTTCGACTGTTCACTCGTGAGATTAACGATTTACGCTATGTGCTATGGAAGAAATAACTCGTAGTCTCCACAAGACTCCTTTGCACTGGCACCAAAATACAACATTTGTAAATTTATGCGATGTCCGAGGGAGCGACTCCGCCGATTTCACTCACATCCACACGAGGCGTGTGGCAGTTGCACATCCGTACCCCTTACTTCACTTCCGGATTTCCGATTTTATTGACCGAGTTTCATCTCACACGCGACTGCCACTAAACGAGATGTGATTGGCATCACAGAGTAGGATGTTGTTTTCAATCTGCACTATTTGCAGTGCTTGTCTGCAAGACAACTGTCGCTAGATTCGTTCCCACAAACTGCCATATTGGCCGCAGTACACGCACGAATGAGGAGAACGCAAACACTTAACTTTAGCACTAATTTGTGCCCAAACTCCAACAACCAGGGTTAATAAACATTTGATCCACATAGGCGACAAGTTTATGTTGTAATCTCACACAGATATCTCTATTATTTACGGCAGTTTCCCGTTCATTATTATAACAGTTCACGTGGACCAGCGGCGAACACAAGCCATTACGAGCCTCAAGTTTTCAACGTGAATTTCGTTAAGCCACACATGACTGGACTCCAAGTTTCTTCATCGTCCTGATTACTTGGTGAGCAACTTGGCCCAGTGCCTTTGTGTGCACCCACCAGACTCCTGCTGACCCTCGATGTTGCCACACCATCGACACATAACGCACACAAACACGAATCACAACAACATTCTCCTCCGTCCAGTCTACGCTCAAACCTCCATCGTCTTTGGTCTTCTAACTCGCACCTGGTTACCTCGTGTCTTATCCTTGCTGCAGCGTAATGCGCCACAGTACTGATGCCAAGCGGGCTCGACTATAAGCACCCAAGATGGGGATTCGACAGCCCCTTTTGGGACAAGGAACTCGACTTCCCATCCACGACAACTTCCATGAACACTTCACAAAATGCCCGGGACTTACTCTGGTGCTGGCTCCCTCGCGTCGTGCTGTGAGTCCTTGTACACAGTAAGAGTTTCGCCAGTACGAACAGGGTGGGCTGGAGGCAGCGAGGTGGATGCAGCTGACAACGCGGCTTGTTGGTTAAGCTAGAGCACAAGTGAAGCAGAAAACGGAGTCTTAGAAAATCACCCGGAACTTTGAGTGTCCACCGGACACGTCCGGATTAAGGCCTTATGAGCAGCAACAACAAGGTACCATCATATCCCGTGGTGGGGCAACTGCACATGCAGGAAGATGACAGTATTGAATGATCAAGGAGAAGGCTGGTGGTGTGAGCAGAATGCGGGGGGTAGCAAGGAAGCAATTGCAGCGGACAACAAATGGCAGGGGACATGAAACGGCAGTTGAAATGACCAAGTGACTCATCTGCACTTTGCTTTTCTTCGTAGACGATTCCCTTAATCTCGTCATGGGTGTCATAGTTGTCCCCTCTTTAGCCCAACCCACAGACGAAAGCGAAGGTATAATGGTCTATGGCCATGTTGTGTTCTAAGTAATCATGACTTGTGCTGGCTTGAACTCGCGTGAAAAGAGAACATGTAAAGAGCACGTAAAGCACGTGAAGGAAACAAAGGCAGAAAGGGAATTATAGCAATTCCTTCAAAATACGCTGCATTAAATGGAGATCAATGCGAAGTGTACATTTTGGTCTACAAGTGCAAAAGCATTTGCTAAACGAGATGCTCAAGTAAAAAATGTAGCAGGAATGCAACGATTTGTGTGGTTCTTGGTTGGAGTTAACCACGTCTGCTTAGGCGCTGTCGTGACGGCCTTGACGCGGATGCATATGCGGAATGACTGAGGCCGTCGTCTAAGTGTTGGTTTACCTTAACAGGACGTCCTGCTTACAGACACAATAACATCAACACTTTTCTCGATCAAGATGTTCACGCAGACGTAAATAGCAGGCAGTCACACAACCAACAGGAGTTAGTGGATGGGCACAACAGCGAGCCACCATAATAAACCAACTGTTTAAGACATTTACACACCGACTTGGTCAGTGGAGTACGACGATGAATCGACGTCCATCCACACCTACCGGCCAGCGCGACGCTCTGTGCAAGCGTGAAGAAGTGGGCAACCGGTTTGGACTGTCAAGTGGTTTGTTAAAAGAGCACAGTGGCTGCGATTTGACTACGCCAACTCTTGGGATCTGCAGCACATCAAAAGGTGCACACCACGACGGTCCATCATTTCCCTGCAAACCGTGCAACCATGGGAAGGCGTCACTCGTGGCTCAGCACCCTTGTCACCACCTGCCTGACAAAACTGCTTTGCTCCAGTTTAGCCGTTGCGTAACCTCAAAGGTCCAATTTAACACTTATCGGTCAAGCTCGACACAGGAGCCACGCCATCACCACCACCACCAGGAAAGGCGTGAGATAATGTCACAACACAAGTGGTCTTCTCTTAGAAAGGTGAAGACCAGCATTCACACACACACACAAACACACTGATAAGTGCTTCGTCATGTGATCGCAGGTCTCTTTAGTCTCCCTCAAATCAAAGTTCATCGCAGATTCTCACATCTTGGATGAGCACTGGTAAAACCTGACAACCGCTTCCACCTCTCAGCCGAGAATCAATCTTCGGCGAACAGAGCAATGAAAGCGTCTTAACCAGTCAGTGAGGTGGTCGTCATCAAATTCACGAAATTAACCACCCCTACAACGCAGGTGCTGAATCATTAACTCGGACTACTTCCAATGCCTCAATCCAACGCATTCACACCAACTGCATTATGTCTCCAACCGAATGCAAACCGCATTAATTTATGACCGATAATTCAGACACTGTGATAGTCTCGTTACAAATCACCATTTCAAAAACAATTGGTAGTGGTAGTTTGTCGCTACTGACCAAGTACGCAGGCGCGACAATTGTCAACGACATACATAACCTCTGCAGCATCAAGTGCTAGGCCCGCTTGTCAAATTCATTCTCTTTTGTGAGAACTCGCTGACACCCAAACGATGGGCATTTCTGGCATGTATCCAACAGAGGGTGCTCCAGCTGTTACCAGATAGGATAAACACTGGAGACGGATCCCAACAGTGTCTACACCAACGCATGAAAATATGTTAGGATAGTAAATCACTCATCAGAAACTATGCAAACCAACTCTGAGACCACTATGCAAATATGACTATGTATATTTCTAATGTGACCGAACAAGTTTAGTGAGAAGATGGGCAAATTGTTGTTAGCGGTAAATGGACACCAAATCGGGGACTTTTAAGAATGTCTTCCACCACAGCTGAGGACAATCAACACCTACCTTGGCTACGGGCTTCTTCAAGTTCTCCACATTCCACTCAGATATAGGCTTGGCCAGTCGGGAGAGCGATTCCCCAAAGTCACTCGCACCTGACTGGATAGCTGGCAAATTCGGGAGATCACCAACTATGTCATCATCTTGGAATATTTGCAGACCAGTGGTGTGCTTTCGTTGTTGGCGCAGAGTCTCTACGCGCTTCCTATCAATGCCCTTTAGTCCTTGTTGATTCGCTAAAAGGAGTTGGCATTACTAGTTACCGATGCACGAACTCGGGCGATTTCAAATAACAGGAGCTAGCACGAACAACCTACACATCGATGGGTGTAGCCGACAGGGCAGTGTTGTGGTGGGTTGCAGTAATTCACGCATAACCAGACTCAAAATTAACCCACACCTTGATCACACACGCACACACACACGTCTCCAGTCCTCCACTGATGCCACCACCACGTCTCAGTAACCACACTGACCAGTCTGAACATGCACTCGGCTGCACATCTCTCTCCCCCTCTCTCTCGCTGACTCCGCTGATCGCGCCTGCGACCCACAATGATAGACACACACACACACACGTGCACCATTATACAGACACGCAAACCAGGTAAATAAGATGGTCGTGTCCTTTGTCTGTCCTCCTTCATTCCAGCGTCGGGGTAGCTCTCGCAGTTGTACGCTGCTGCGGGAACTGCACAAGCACCTCGCGGTTTTGTCGACGGTGAACAGGGTCTCGTGGTGTCCAAAATGATTCAGTCGACCAGTAGTGGCACCGTGCAGGCACTGAAAACACCTCACCCGTGCAAGCTACCTGTGTCACCGATAGGCCAAGTATTCCGGCATTATGGCAGTTTAAGCTGGCAAAATGAGTGAGCCGTAGTCTGTAGTGAATCGTGTTAACTCAGACACACTGCCCCAATTTCCACGGCCTGCCGTCAGTCGAGTGCGGCCGTCCGCTCACTCACGCCTGTACCTGTACCACCCATTGCACCTGTTTTACTCGCCTGACCACACAGACACTTGAATATTTACTAGTTGCTCACCAAACCACGTCAGTCATGCACCGCATGGAATGCACGCACACGACAACACAGCAAGGTTGAGCCACCCAGTCTCCGCCATCTCCAGCCATCTACTTGCCTTCTCGGGTATTGGTGCAGCGTAAACGAGCCAATACATACCGGGCCCTCAACAGATTCAAATCGAATGTGAGCCAAATAGTTTGTAGCCCAGATAGTGGGTTTCGTTGCTAGTGCAGCCACACACGGAGAGACACAGGGACTGCCAACACACCACACCACTAGTGGTGTCACTAGACATTTCGTGATGCTACAGGGTGGTGGCGGTTTGCATGGGCCAAGTCCGCAATCAGTGTTGCCACAAAGTAGAAGCAACCACTTGTCCACTAGCACCATGAGGCATTTCCGACAAATCATGGTTGAATCGAACGTCACCGGCACGCATGCTTTGCCAGTACACTGACAATGGTGCAACGGAGGTCAGGTTCTTCGTGTTATCGTACTCAACAACAATGACCTCCATCCGATCGGAAAAGATCAATCTCAAGCTCGGCCTTTGTCATCCTTGCAGATACTTCTCACTACACACGCACACACACACACCCCTGAGACAGGTCTCGCTCATAAATGTAATCTGACCGCCTGCGTCCGAAGCCACCATCCAGTCGATCATACCAGGGACACTTTGTGGCCATTACAGCGTCACATGACTGCCGAAACCGGACACACCAATGCTTCATTGATAATGCATTGGGAGGTCAACCTTCTCTGGTGTGCGATTACCAGAATGACGGATTTACTAGTGGTAAGTTCAAGTGCTTCAAACACATGTGACTACGCAAGTTAACCACGCGAGTTGTCGTGTCCCTTGGTTGGGGCAACGTCGCAAACCCATGCGTTAGTCATGGTGACCATAGTGGAAATCTGAAAGGGTCCTTTTCCCCACTGAAGCCAGATTTCTACCAATTGGCCAGGTCTCTCTCTCTCTGACACAAACCATCTTACCTCGAAAGACACAGACGTGCATGTTTTCCAGCTCTGCATAACGATAACACTTCTACACCACTCACTGCAAGCCACGCATTAACAGCTGGCCAATTCTTGAACTAGTGAAGCCATGCCGATGGTGGAACACCAAAGTCCTCTAATTTAGGGTAACTTGATCCGGGTTAAATGGCAAACAATTGCGAAATCCTGACGATGTCGTCTCTCTTGAACCTGATATATGGTCAAGGAGGTCACGTGGGTGGGGTTAGTGGTATAGCCAACAAAAGAAGAAGAGGTCAGATGTGGGCACGACTCACAATCAATAGCAGCTCTGGAGCGCACCGAAGGAACACCCGATCCTTCACCTCCCAACATTGAAGTGCCAGTCTCCGTGGTGCGAAGAGAGGCCAGGGTTCTGCGCACACCGGAGGCAGCCTGAGCCTTGAGTAGCGGATTCACAAAAGTCGCTTCAAAGCCCCGCTCCTCGTCATCCAGTTGGTCGGATTGACGCAGTGACTCGAGGAGTTGCCTGTGTTTAAGGAACACCACAACACACTTCATTGATAGGTCTGACAGCAACGGATAGAAAATCATGCAAGGAAGTAAAAATAGACCACTAAATGTCTCCGAAGTTGAGACAGCAACACGACAATAACACACCAATCTACCAGCACTCGGAAGGTGACAACAATACGCCATATGCTATCAGTACACAACTGCCCATAGTTTCAGAGCAGTACTATTTAAGAAAGGCAGTCCACCTTAAGGAATTGCGGATAGATCATGTATTGGCTGCATACGGTGCTCTACCACCATTCATCAGTTGGTCCACCACCACTCGTGCAGCACTGGAATGTTGGATAAATCAGAAAGGGTACGAGGCAACACTAAATCCAGAAGAAAGTGTGTACTAGCGATGCGTGGTGGGTGCTACTCTGAATACCTGCGGGGTTTTGACCAAACAGTCGTTGCATAATTAACCCGACAACTGGGAGGGCAGCATTTGTGCGCAGCACGACGGAATTACTTTCTCAGGTCACCTTGCCCTCCCTAGGTTAATATTCACATTCTGAGAGGACGATCGGTTCGTATATTTCGAATGATGAGATGCATCTAGTGTAGGTAACTGGTTCTTGAACAAGCTTATGCTTAGTTCCGAAGTGCGACATCGACCGTCACCAACTGCCACCGAAGACAACAACAACAACGGCGACAGTCTTGTTTGCTGCCAACTAACTGACATCACACTGAAAGCTTGCTAGCACGATAATCTTGCACAACACCTTACAACTTCGCATACTTTCATGATAAACAAATGCACACGCTTCCGCCTCTCGTCTTTTCACCGCGTTATCTGTAAGTCAGAAAAACACAACTGACCTTCAGCAGGGTTGTGCTGAAATAGTACTATCCCATGACCCTTTGGGCTATGCCGTGTTTGTTATTCGTCAAGACGCCAGATATGATATCGTGGGAAACTGAGAGCCAAAAAGACTTCTTTTGCCTACTGGTGAGAGTTGATTGTGAATCGTGGGCTTATTTTACTTGTGCCAAGCCGTGAAATGCAAGCATGCACACCCTGTAGAGGTAGGTTTCGAGAAGGATAGACTATGGCTAAGGACAGTTCTACAGCCATGCTAGAATCGTGTGCCTTAAAATGCTGGTACTCGAGTATTTAAGTAGCAAGTTGGCGCATGGACAGGTGAAGCAGCAGCAGTGCACCAACGACCATTTGGAGCCTGGGGGAAACAGGTTCTCTGATGGTATGGTGAATCACTACGCCTGTGGTATTGAGCAGATCTGTAACGTGGTGACAAAGAACCCAAAGGCATCAGCAATGGCGCGTGGCTGCAGTCTAACCGACAAATCGTGGGCTTTTGGCAAAATGCGCTATTGCCGTCTAGACTAGTCCCATTAAATCAGTTCAAGTTGAGTCCGAGAGTCGAGATCACGGCACCACTGATGCCGTAATTCTTCCATATCGATTGTCGATTACGGCCTGAAAACAAAATCGCCACGGTTAATTGGGTGAATTCACGTTCGCCATCCCCACCCACACATGTCCTGGTTTCTCGGTAAGCCTGTATCCGTGGTGTCACTATCTCATCCGCCACCTGACCTTTCACTGGTTAAGGCCCCTACCAAACATCACTCCCCATTGTTCAAGCCGGTGCGTTGTAGGCGTATGCAAACTCGTCTACTCTCAGTACGCGTTGACCAGTTGATTCATTTGCCCCTGGCCTTCCTTTGCCTCCCTTCTTGCCAAACCAATACAACTGCTCATCGTGTTGCACAAGTGATCGTTACGAAAGGAGACGTGATTCCAGTCCGAGGTATCCGGGATTTTAAGGTGGGGCCGGGGGAAGAGCAGAATTTACAAATCAGGCGAAGAATCTGCAAATACTCTTACGTGGCGGGCAAATCAAAGACGCCAAAAGTAGGATTTAACCTAGTCCGATTAATTTCACCATTCTTTTCAGGACAAAGCAGGTCAACAGAGAAGCAAGGTGTTCATCAGCCAGTTCTTATATCGCGGTTGTTGG